TAGAAGGTGCAAAATGCACAAGTGGGGTGGGACCAGGTGGAACCGTCCCACTCGAGTTTGTCCGAGCGTTGTAGTTGGTATGGGGCCTCTCCCACGTGTGAGTACGGTGAGTTATTCGCGGGTGAAAAGATAAAAAGTGAAAAAACAAAAAATCGCATCCGCTTTGAGCCTGTCATGAGTGTCATTTGGCTTTGATGAAAACAAAGTGTAAGTGAAGACAGACGACCGAGCGGTCAATGTAGACATGAAACCCGTTAAGAGAGAGCCTTTGACCAATTTGACTACGCTTTGAAGTCATCATACTAACATTTATTAAAAGCAAGGTCTTTTTATTATTATTTTTTTATGAAGCTATAAAGTGGGCCAAAAAAAAAAAAAGTGGACCTAAATTTTAAAAAGGAATTTTTTGTTAAAATTAGTTTAAAGAATAAATTTAAAAAATAAATTAAAAGGGAACAAATCAATCAAATAATTTGATGTATTCTGAATGGCTCATATTATTTGACAAATTCAGTTTATAATAAATAAAATAATATAAATATAGAGAGAGAATAAGCAAGAGATACGGAGAGAGCGAAAAAATAGGAGAAAGAGCAATCAAAAAAATACGAGAGAGGAAGAGAGATGTAGCACGAGGTATTATTTTTATATAAATTAATATAAATATTACTTTTAATATTAATAATTTAATTTATTAAATAACAATTATAAAAAAATTAATTAAAATAGACATTTTTTAATTTAAAATTTTAGGCCATATGGGGATGAAAATAATATTTTATTAAAATTTTAAAATAATTTAATCAAAAATTTATAAGAATGAAATTTTAATTTTGAAATATTAAAATTAATTTTAAATATCATTGCAAAAATGAATATGTCAAATGATTTGATGCATTTAGAATGTACCAAATTATTTGACGTATTTAAAATATGCCAAACTATATATGTGGCTATAAAAAAAGGCTTCTTAAGCTAATTTTAGTAAATAACATGCTTATTTTTAAAATTTTGCCCATGAAGTGAAGGGCAGTACTGGTGGAAAAGTGAGAAAAACAAGGTTAGAATAATCATATCAAAATTTCTTAAGGATAACTTTAAACTCATGAATTATTTTTTAGCAAAAAGTAATATGATAATTTATCAATTATTGATATATAACACTCAACTTGAAATAAATTAAAAAAATTTAAAAATTATTCTACTAAGATTTTTTATTAGATATCCTAACCTAACTTTTTTTTTTTACTCGGAGTTTAAGTTGAACTAGTTGTTCATTTATGTTCGTTAAAGCTGCAAAATCTTGTGCATTTACACTTTAATATTATCATTAAAATAACACTGAAAAATCCATCCATTCAAACAAGAATATCAAGACAATTTTTGTATTACAAACTTCGAGAATTAAATTCAAAACCTTTTAAATTCATATTTCAACAAATATCTAGTCAAATTACAATTCTTAATGTAACAAATCCAACAATGTCAAGAGTGTTCAATTTTGATTCTAATTGAGTCCATATATATTAAGCAGTTCAAAGTTTAATTGGGATCTTTGTGACATTAATTAAAGGGCAAAAAATTTCTGAATTTTGTATTCTTATAGTCAAAATGAATGTCTCAATGTGATTGAATCTAATAAGTCCAAAATCACTCAATTAAGAGGTTATTGAGTCACTTAAAGTTTTAAGAATGAGTTATGATCAAAGGTTCTAAAATAAGTCATCTGATGGAGTGCCTTTAAGCTTTAACCAAAATAATCAAATTAAAGGGGCACTCTATAAAACTATAAATAGACCCTTAACTCATCACATGAAATGGGGGAGGGAGAAAAACTTAGTTAATATTGAACTTGAAGTTGGAGAGAAGCTTATATAATAATCGATCCTGATAAATGTCATTAATTAATAATTACTGTCGCCCAACCAGCATCATCCAAACACCATCACTGAACTATAATCTCAATAGTATTGTTAGCTAACTATGTTCTCTCGAGTAGTGACACCCAACTATGATTGCTTGATTTTAGTCTCTTGATCACCATCATTTGATTGTAGCCTCTCAAACACTATAGCCTAACTTAATAGTCTGATTACTAACATCTACCAACATCCTCTCCAATAATCTCAATATATAATATTGTCTATAAGATCAATGCACACTATTGACAATAATGCCCAACATATTATTTTTTTTCATCTATTAGCGCAATGTTTACGCGTTTAGCTTATTTTTACTTAAGTAGTCTCATAATCTCCCTCACTTAAGTAATTGTCGATCGTCCGCATTAGTATGCTTTTTCCAAAATTATCCATCATGCATACAAGAATCTAGATGTGGTCCTTACAAGTTCAAGTGGTGGCTCCCGCCATGTAATATTTTATCCCATATAAGATTCAAGAGGAGACTCCCTTGGCATATTATTTTAGCTTATATATTACTCTAATACAATTTTGTAATTACTAAAACTATTAACTATCCAGGTATTATTTATTTTGGCATAATCATCTCATGGTTCCATTACATTGGTGTAATTTCTTAGAAGGTTACCACCCATCTCAAGAATGTTCCCACATGAGCATGCTTAACTTTAGAGTTTCTTAATGAAAATTTAACTATTACATAATAAATCACTTGATGTTTAAGAGTTTAGCTTCTTTCTACTTAAAGAGTCTAACAATTGATGTATGATATCTCTTATAAGAATGATGCATATTATTAACGCCCACACCAACGCCTACTAACTTTATCAATGATTGTGGCCTATAATGCTAATAGACATTATTGATAAATCTCATCACCCACGAATTGAAGCTTGTTGTAAACACAATGGCTAACACCCACAAGATTAATTCACATGTCATTGGCATGTGCACTATCTCCAATAAGGCTAGAATGTATTATATGCATCAACTTTGATTCCTAGTGTTATTAACACCAAGATCTTTCTTGATTTCTTAGAATTGGGTCTCTAGTCCTCTTTATTATAAAACCCTTTCACACAAAGAGTGAGAGTTTATACCTTATATCATAATTTCTAGCAACTTGCTTATAAATTTTAGTCAAGTATGTATATTAATACTATAAATAATATACGTCCAAGGGCTAAGCAATTGAGAAGCTTATTTCAAAGTCACATATGAAATTAATAGACTTACATGGTGTAAATACATTATTAGTTACTATTATTTTAAATATTTAGAAGTCTTCTATAGCTTCAAAATATTTAAACTCCTACCTCAACTTTTAACAAACACACACTTCTCTATTGAAGGTTATTACAAGGACTCCTCTTTGTTAAACATCTGTTCTATACATGTTGTAAAATTCAATCAATACTTGCATATCAAGTATTTATATTATATTCGATGTAATATTTATATCATGTATTTCTGTCATATGTAATGGAACATGTATATTATGTATTTCATGTATATCATATGCCTTGTATCAATTTTATTATTCATATCATGTATCGTGTACAAATCCTATTATATTATGTCATTTATGCCTATTTTCTTATATGCTTATGTCAATATGCATATGCAAGTAAGATAGAACATTTGGCTACCTTTGATGTTTTTCTTTTATCAAATCTTGTAGGCCAACCCTACAAAATCATTCTCATCCATATCATTGATGTTGTCATGAATTAGTATCATATCATATTTAACAAGTCATGTGGCTTTCATGTAAGAAGTCGTTACTTTCTGCTTGTCGATGTATCATATCATATCAATCAATCTCCTTATTCCTCTCATTTTATATTACTTAGAATTACCTCATAAATCTTATTTAAAGGAAAGCCTTCCAGCCTACCCTCCTGTACAAGATAATATGTCTCCAACTAACTTAAATTAGTCAATCATTTTCACCGATCCTTCTTACTATCAGAACGCCACTTATACTATTCATGTACTTATTTACTTCTTTACCTATAGCTATCTATATATACATTATATACCTGTACGTTTAAGATATCGAACACACATTTCTTTCTCTGTTCTTTCTATTATCTCCGTCTTCATCTCTTCTTGTTCGCTCCGCCTCTGGCCACGGTCCTTCTCCGCTCGAGCTGGATTCCTCACATGGTATCTAGAGCCAACTATGGGAGATCAAGGTTTAGTTTCTTCCCTTCCTCCCTCCCCTTCTCCTACCACCGTCACCACTCCGGACATCATCATTCTGGCTACTCTCAAATTCCTCATCTCCAACATCAAAAACCTCATTCCGAACCAGCTAACCATTGAAAAGTATGCCATTTGGAGAACTCAAATCCTACAGCAGTTCTCAGCCAATGGGTACGCCGGCCACCTATCGGGATCTACCACACAGCCGTCCGACGCCACCTTTGCGGAACATACGACCTGGAATCTCATTGACAGCAACCTTATTTCAACCCTCTTCTCCACCATCACACCATCCATTCTACCATATGTCATTACCGCCTCCACCGCTCAAGAAATCTGGAAGATTCTTGAACATCGCCTGCAGCCTTCGAGTCGTTCTCGTGTTCTTCAACTCAAGAACGAACTCCATCATGTGCAGATGAAAAACCTATCTATGCAGCAATACCTTTCCCACATAAAGAACATTGTCGACACCATTGCCGCATCCGGATCCAAAATCGATCACGAGGACATAATTCTTCACAGCCTCAACGAACTTCAGTTGCCTTACAACTCCTTTAAGGCAGCATTTCGGACTTCCTCCCTACCTGCCGATCTAGATAATCTGTACTCGCTTATGTGTAGCGAAGAAATCCATGTAAATCAAGAACTTCTTAAAGATCAATCAGCTACCGCATTGTACGCCTCCTCCTGCAACCAGACGCGAAATCGAAATCAAAAGCAATCCTTCAAGAACAAGAACGGCCCGCCCAGACCACCTATTTCAAACCAGACTCCATCGAACACTGTTCCATCCACGACAACGCGCCCAACTTGCCAAATATGTGGCAAGACTGGACACATTGCCATAAACTGTTGGCACCGGTGTAACTTCAAGTACGCACCGACCACCACCTCCGGTTCCAGGTAAATGCTCGCTCAAACAACATCCTCTCCTAACTAAGATTGGATACTTGACTCCGGCGCTTCCTCCCACTTGACACCGGACAACACAAATATACAACAACCGTACCCATACTACGGCCAAGAGTCAGTCTCCGTAGCCAACGGATCATCTTTACCCATTCAAAATACTGGTCAAGGTTTGCTTCCGCTCCCGGACACGCCCCATAAGCTTCGTCTATGAAATCTTTTACATGTTCCGGCACTTACACACAATTCCAAGTTAACTCGAGATAACTCAGTTTCTATTACTTTCAATGCTAATACTTTCGAAATTAAGGATTCTCAAGATCAACGACTTCTTCTTCGTGGTCATCTTCGTAATGGCCTATACCATCTACAACCGTCTCCAGACACTTCCGCTATGGCTCTACAAGCAAGAACCACATCCTCTCAGTTGTGGCATGCCCGATTGGGACATCCCAATCAACGTCTGCTTAATTCTTTAGCTAAATGCATTCCATATTTTCAACTTTCTTCTTCCTCTGTTATGTGTAAATCATGTAATGTGGCCAAGAGCCACAAGCTTTCATTCAATAAAAGAACTTCAGTCACCACCTCCCCGTTCGAACTTATTCACTCAGACATTTGGGGTCCGGCTCCGAATCAGTCTTTAAACAATTTTCGTTATTATGTACTACTGTTTATAGACGATTTTACGCAATTTTTTTGGATTTTCTTTATGCATTCTAAACAGGAAACGCTAATGAAATTCAAAATTTTATGCAATTTACTACATACACAATTCAACAAAAAGCCCAAAATCTTTCAATCTGATGGCGACGACGAGTTCACTAGTAATGTGTTCAATGACTATCTCGAAGACAACGGTATACTTCATCAGAAAAGCTGTCCTCACACACTAGAACAGAACGGGATCGCGGAACATAAGCACAGACACATTCTTGATCTAACGCGCACTCTCCTACACGCCTCAAATCTTCCTCTCCATTTATGGGTAGAAACCATATCCACTGCCATTTACCTCATTAACTGCCTTACGTCAAAATCCAAAAACTTTCAATCTCCCTATCAAATTGTCTACAATAAGGTACCCAACTACTCACACCTTTGGACGTTTGGATGCCTATGCTATCCATGGCTTCATCGTTACATGCACAACAAATTCTCTCCTCATTCTAATGACTGCGTCTTGTTGGGCTACTCTTCTAACCACAAAGGTTACAAGTGTTACAATCTCGTCACCCACAAAACTCACATATCTAGACACTTGGTCTTCACGAACAACAATTTCCATTCAATCTTGCTATTACTTCCGTGCACTCGAACACAAATTCCACCCCGCAAATCATCCCACCTGCCCTGCTCGTCCCCGCCTCGGCGATCTCCAGCAATCCCACATCCTCCACAAATACTAATCCCGAGCACATCCCTGATCAGCATAATCCACCGCCTCATATCCCGTCTACCAGCAACAATACTACACACCTGCAACCAATTAACCCAACCCCATCCCTTCCCCCTACTCATCCTATGAGGAACCGATCGAAATCTGGCATATCCAAGCCTAAACATATCGTCTCTCTTCTCAGCAAGTCCACACCATCAACCACACCGATCCACTGCAACCAGGCTGTAAAAATGGAACACTGACGCACAACAATGGCAGCTGAGATCAATGCTCTCAAGACACAAGGAACTTGGTCCCTTGTTCCAGCACCTCCTAACAAACGAATACTCAGCTGTAAGTGGACTTTCAAAACAAAATTACTTCCTACAGGTCAAGTAGATCGCTACAAGGCACGCCTCGTTGCACTGGGATATGATCAAAGATTCGGAGAAAATTACACCGAAACGTTCAGTCATGTCGCCAAAATGCCAACCATCCGTGTTCTTCTCGCTCTGGCGCTCAATCGAAATTGGAAAATTCTATAGCTGGAAGTCTCCAACACTTTTCTGCACGGTGACCTCTCTGATGATATCTATATGCATCAACCTACAGGATTCGTCGACCCCAATCTTCCAAATGTCGTCTGCAAACTGTACAAATCTCTATACGGTCTCAAGCAAGCTCCTCGAAAGTGGTTTCAAAAGCTAACAAAATTTCTTCAAACACGAGGATTCCGAAACACGAGGATTCTGGTTTAGTCGCTCCGACCCCTCCCTCTTAATCTTTAATCACAATCATATTCAACTATATTTTCTAATTTACGTCGATGACATCCTTGTCACAGGAAATGTTTAAAATCACATACAAAATCTTTGTCACGACCAGACCCGACGGGGAAGGATCCCGCCCGAGCCGGATCGCGACAGAACCTTCTTATCCAGGATCTGGCTTTGGAATTTGGTTCTGAACGGTGCGTCGAATTATGACCAGTGATAAAATAGATAAAGATGGAGACAAAGTTAATTGAAAAGAGTGGTATTAATTAAGACAAGAAGGAGAAGAGATTTAAATTAATCCGGGATTAAGGAGCCATGATTAGATTCGGGAACGAGAAAATGCCTTGACACATTAGTTTATAATTGCCGGCTGCCTCTCGATTGCTTTTCTGTGCCGCCGCATGTGTTAAGATCCTCCTCGCCATCATCTCTCCATTCAATTAGGCCTAATGAAAAAAGAACAAAAGGGGGAAGGAACTCAGCGCACAAAAGCCAACCTTTCTATTCGAGTTTTAAATCAAGCTCTAAGATAAAGTTTGGACATTTTTGCATTGTAGGGCATGGCTGATATAATGCCAAAGTATACACTTTTCTTGTGGCTTCAATACGAACAAAAAACACAGATGCTAATTTAATAAATAAGATTATTTTGGGAATCGTTTACTTAGGCTTCGTTTGGGACGGCTTTCGTGTTGCTTCTTAAAGCAACTTCTTAGTATCAAAATTAAAATTTTTGTACTAGGAAGCTGCTTTAAGAAGCGGAAAAAAAGCCGTCCCAAACGAAGCCTTAGGCTGATTTTTATTTATTGGAGGCATTTTTTTTTATAGAAATTATAATTTATGAGTTAGATGGGGATATACTTTTAGGAGATTTACATACATACCACTTTATATCATCATATTTACATATATAATACTTAAAATTTTAATATTACATATTTACTCATATTTTATTCCTACCAACCATATATTTCATTTTTATCACTTATATTTGATATGAAAGTGACATATGGGTGGTATGCATGTAATGTTAAGGTTTTATGTGTTAGATATTTAAATAAAACAGTATAGTATGGTATGTATGCAAATCTCTCATTTTTATTTTTTTCTCCCAATGAAAATACATTTTATTTTTAGAGTTTGTATTATATTATGTTATCATTATTAAAAAAAAAATGTTATATTGCGACTTGCGAGTCATAAATCTTGCTTCTCATGTTAAAAATATGCTAGTGTAATGAATGTGAGGAATATTGCTCTCTAGCAATATTTATATATAGAGGAAAAAGTGTTTGTTTAATCTGATTACAAACGAATAAATAAAAATATAGAAAAAACTTAAATCCTGATCTGGCTCACTCTACTGGATCCTGACCTATTTCAAAAAATATTTAAAATCCACAAAGTGAGCTAATTGCTCAGTAGATTACCATAACTTAGAATTGCAATCAATGCACAACAGTGAAAAATAATATGCATGTAATCATTCCATCCATATCAATATAGCATGTAATCGTAAGATCATGTAACAATCAATATGAGTAATATCATTTCATATAAGTAATAGAAGTCATAAAAATTAATATAATTCAAATTCAATGATCAGTGTTCAATAGCCATATAAGGAATCAACATATCCTATTATTTTTATATTCATGCCATGTACAACACAACAAGTCTACTATGAATCTAAGCATGTCAATAAGTTAAACTTCACTTCATTTTAAAATGTCCTTCAATGTATATCAATCACTACAGGAAAATCATCAATTACCCCTGATAATTTCTAACTATTTAACTAAATTTTTCGACAATTTTTCAATTTTCCGACAGTTTAAAAACCGTCTGAATAAACCATGTAGGAAATGAAAACCGCGGCATATTTCCAATGGTAATATTTTCTAACGGTTTTCCGACGACTACAGACTACATTAGCCGAAAATTAACACACTATTCAAAGACATCATTGAACGTACCGTTTTACTTTTCTACCATTCTTATAACCAACACATCATAAATTACTATCTACCTTTGATGTCACCTATTTAAAATTTCTAATAAGAGTCATCTTAATAAAAGTTTCCCTATCATACACAAAAGTGGACCTCTCTTATATTAATCCTTTTATAAATAACAAATCATTACAAACAAGTCCAATCCTATGATTTTTGATGCAGTGCATAAAGAGACCCAATCACGCATTCCGTTACTTGCTCAGTATTCCGTTATTTGCTCTGCCTCCACTACTCTAGCACTATTTTCTGTTAGTAGAATGTTATTTCACTTTTTGATGGTTAGCTTATTATTAGAAAAATAGCTTTACACAGAGGACAAGAGGTATACTTATAGACCAAGTGTAAGAAGAAAGTGAGCTTTTTACCATATTACAAGAAAAATACAGTTCTCTGTTCTGGGAAGAGTTTTCTCCCTGTTCCTTTCGTTTTCTTTGCTTTTCTTTGGTTTCAAGTTCTTCTGCCAGAGATCCTTGTGCTACTGCCGATCCTTGGGTTGCATCAATTTTTCTACCATTTTTTAATATATAAATTATTATCTCTAAACTGTATGTGCACCAAAAATTTCAAAGCAGCAATGATGAATATTATCAAATTCTATTGATACCTAAAAAACCCATTCAACAAGTACGAGATCACTTTTTAAATTCTAAAATTAATTGAATAAACCCCCAATATTGTTAATAATTGAAGACTACTTTAAGCAATCGTACCTATGACACTATGACTAAATTTTATAATTAGCGCATGAAATTAATCATAATAGATCATGCATCAACTCCAAATAGGCCAATATGCACTGAACAAAGATCTAACGCATGAATGGAAATAAAAAACAATAATAAATCTTTATTTACAATCCTCGATCTAGAGGTGTAAGTGAGCCCTGAACTGGCTGGAGCTTGACTCATTAACGATATCATAAATCGAACTTATCAAGTGACGCGTTTGAGCTCGAGCCTATACTCGATCACATATGTTAAACGAGCTCCAGCACTAGCTCAGTCTGTCTCAACTTTGAAGCTCGTTGAGCCACTCGATTAACTTAAAATATATTTAAAAATCAATTTAAATTAATATTATATAATATATTTTAACGTTTTAAAATTAATTCTATATTAAAATAAAATTGAAATTTTAATTTAAAATTAAGAAATCAATTTCAACAATCAAGCCAAGCTCGAGCTTTCCAAACAAGCTTGAGCAATCGAGCCGAGCTTGAGCCTAAATTTTTTAACTAGCCGAGCTTGAGCATAGTAAATGAGCTCGAGCTAAATGAGAGCTAAACAAATGTAGCTTGATTATGCATG